TGATTATTAATTATTAGTGATAGTATAAAAGGAATGAGAAGGAAAGTCAAGAGAACTATATCAAATCGTTCCAATAGAAGGCCATTCACACCATTGAGGTACTTATACCGGTAGATATACTGTATAGAGAGAGACTAATGACATACTATGATATTATTGTGGTACATATTGTATTTATATTATTAGTAAAAATGTTGATCAGTTAGACACAATGGATGAATCATTTACTGATCTTGTAAGTAATATAGTATTAGTAAGAATACTATGAGTGACATACCCTCCCTCCCTCTCTCTCCTCTCATAGGATTCTACTCTCAATACTTGTACACTATCAGTAGCTCCTCCTTTTCCTCCTACTCCAATGAGAGCTCCTCCCACTAAAAGACAAGCATTAGGATATGGACATTCATTTAGTTCAATGGATCTCACTAAATTAGGATCCACTGGTACACTCTGATACTGCATGTTATTCTATTTATCTGTGTGCAAGGGCGTAGGGAGAAAAAAAGGAAGGGGTAGGCTATGAGTAGAAAAGGGCGTGCGAAGCGCGCCGGCGATTTGGCCACGCCCACTTTTACGCCCGCGAAATGGGTGTGTTCTCGCAATATGGAGTTTCATTTACTCTAATTATGGTTCTCGCAACTGCTTCACACTCAGACTCAGATGAGGACTCAGGCAAGACTCAAGGTAGCAGCACAATCAACAACATCATCATTCACAAGATCATTATCTTTAATCTCCTCATGCTCATCTTCAGTACAAATAGTCTATATGGCTGGGGTTGACTACTAATATACTCAACTAAATTTTGCATAAAAAATCACAAAGCTTTTGTTTCTTTGCAGCTGACATTGTGATGGCTTCACTTAAAGTTAACTTTTTATAATTTTATTAAGCTAGCTAATTAATTAAGTTAATTATGTAAAGACTCCACCTTAATAAATTATAATAATTGTGCTAAAATGGCTGTTTTTCTTTTCTTTCTCCTGTCTCTGTTTGCTTGTGTCAAAAGTGACTGAGTGAGTAACTGCCAGTTGAGACAGCTACCCTAAACTTCTATAATCTTTAATCATAAGTGACTAAGGCAGAAACTCAATATAGGTAAACTACTAAACTTCAATTCTGACTTCTGAACTTCAGGGTAGGCTATAGCCTACCCTAGCCTTATGCTAGCTACGCCCTTGGATTGCAGTGTACAGTATATTAGAAAACCATATCTAATTCATAACCACCAGTACATGTACTTAAGTTTGCTTACCAAAATATGCATTTATTTTAGTTGTTGCCACTTACCACTGCACTTGTCTTCACAGTCATGCTGAGTGAAGAAATTATTTTCATTAGGAAAGCAACCACCATATGAAAACTGTTGACACATCTGACTAGTGACATTGTAATGGTATCTTGTTATACTAGCAGTACAGGGACCTCTCTCTGGAGCTAATGTACATGGATCAGGCTCTAAAATAAAAAAAACAAGCGTAACAGGGTAAAAAATATTCCTATAATTGATTTCACCACCTTGCAAGAACAACTTGGTCATTATTAAGACTTATAGAGGTTCTCTCTACCTTCTAATGCTTCTAGAGAAGTCTTTAGAGAGTATCTCTATGTTCTCTTGCTGTTAGAAATCAGTGGCGTATCCAGACTGAAGATGATGGTAGGGCAAAAATGGCGCGCGAAGCGCGCCGAAAAATTTTTGCGGTTAATTAATATTCATAGTGGGCGTGTACTTAATTAAAGTTTGCATACGCCCACAATAATACCTGTGTGATTAATAAGTATAATTGATCATTGATCGCGTGTTAACAAAATGATTTATATGAGAGTTATTCTTCTATTACTGTCCAGACCCGAAAACTCAGTTACTACATCTTCAAGATTAATACCACCTGAAAGCTCCCGTTCAATTGACAAGACAGCCATGTTAGCCAGTCTTTCATCACCCATTGTTGAGCGTAAATGGTTTTTTATTAACTTTAAAGTTGAGAAAGAACGCTCACACTGTGCTGTTGAAACAGCAACAGTCATGGCAATTCTCACCAGTCTTGAAAGATTGGGAAAAGCACTGGAAAGGGGCTTCAATTGAAGCAAAACATCGCCAATGGTAGCCAGCTCTTTGCCTTCTAACATCCTCTTTGCTAGTGAAGCTTCCATTTCAATCTTATCCTTTGGCAGATCATAAGAGTCAATGAGTGGTTGCAAAGAATCCGTCTCAAGAAAGAACTTGGATGTAGGGTGACATGATTGAATAGCTTTCATTATGTTGAGATTTTTAGCATCAAAGCGTTTGCTTATTTCTGCTAAAAATGAGTCGATAACTGGGAAATAAAATTGAACTTTATATTCATCAGAAGCAACATTGGTTACGGGCTGTCTAGAACCAGTAGTATCCATTATAACTGAGCTACTAAGATGCTGAGGAGGCCGTTTGGTGCGTCTATTGATAGAATGATGAGGTGATATTTCAATGCAGTGATGGTTTGCAATATGCTCTGTGTAAGTGTACAGCTTGTGCCACATTTCATCAGTACGATAATCCAGAAGAGATGACTGTGTAGCAGCAACAAGATCAGCTGCACTAGCTAGGTTCAGATTGGGAGACTGAAGTTGGTCAGATGCATGTTTTGTAAATGACAATATCTTGTCAAAAGTAACTAGTGCAACTAGAAAAGAAAAGGATTTAACCTGATGGTACAAACCCTTAGCCTGGACAGCCTTTGCACTGTCACTATCATCAGCA